CTGCTATTCCACGCCTAGGCATAATGTCACATTCTCCCTCGCCTAAAACATAATCTAGTCCAAAGCAAATTTCATTAAAAGTAGTCAAATTTGTAAAATCTGTTAGATTAACAATCCTAAAATTCTGATAAGATCATCATTTTCCATTCGACACGCATTTAAATTTCAAGAAAATCAAGATAAAATAGATTTACCCAAAAATCTCCACCAACCCATAACATAACATAAAACTCCCTTAACAATTAGCTAGCAGCAGATAATATACACAAAGAAAAGAGTAAATAAAAAAGAAAACAAGTCCAAATAATAAGGTAAGAACATACCTAGTTATGAAAGGTAGAAGATATCATCAGTCATGAGAAGTATGTAATGCAAGATCCTCAAAGGAGTATTTCTAAAATCCAAAGCAGGCAACCTCAATTCCCTTATCCTACACTCCCCGCCATTTCCTCGTGACACCACATAAACAGGCTTTGAGTCCACTTTCCTAAACAAATACACCATCTTGCTGCCTCCAATTCCATCACTTGGTGTGTTATTTTCCTTAGTCTTGAAAAGAGTCCATCCAACACCAGCTAAAGCCCTTGAAAATTTATCCATGGAATCAATTCTATCACCAGTCAACCTCCAAAACAAAGAAAATGAACAACAATCCCAGTTACTATCATAAAGACTGTCGCTTTCATATCCACCCATGACTTTCTTGGTGTGTTTTGAGTTGATAAACACAAGCTTGAACAACCCTTTTGAGAGTGAAACAAATGAGCGAAGATGGGTTAAAGAAGAAGTGTAAAGTGAAGGGAATGGTAAAGGAATAGCATTGTTTGGTAAATGCAACAAAGATGATGTTGATGTCCATGATAACGATACTGATGATGTACATGGAGTTGATGTCGATGTCGATGGTGATGTACATGATGATGGGTATGAGAAAATAATGTGAGAAAGAGATGGTGTTGGATATAAGTCCATGCCCATGTCTCTTGCAATCTTGGTTAGCCTGTATGTATCTGTAACAAGTTCTTTATTTGGCAAGAACAGAAGTAGTGGGGTCTTTGTCTTCGTCTTCGTCTTCGTCTTCGTCTTGGCTCTTGTTTTTGTTGTGTCTGTATTATTGTCGCTGTTGGTGTGGGTGTAGCTGGTGTTGATATCATTGTGATGGTGATCGTGATGGTGGGAAAGGAGAGGAGGAGGGTTGTTGATGGTTTCTCCTAAGACCAGAGAGCGTACCAGCTTTAGGGGTAGCATCTTTGCTTTGCTTTCATTCTTCTATTACCTTGCCTTACCTTAACTGACCACTTGTGTTAAAGCATCTTCTCACAGTGAAGGGTGGTGTGTCTTCTCGGTCTTCTGTCCAAAAAGAGTACACAATGGGCCCATCGTCATTTTGACTACAAGTTAAACCATCCAAATTCCGTTCATCCATCCGAGTGATTTTTTTTGACTTGGAACTGGTTCTTCTCCAGAGGAAATCATTGAGAAAGAAAAATAAATAACTATTTTCCCCAGCCAAAGCAATATATGGTAAGGTGGTCTTTGCAATGTTATTGAAGCATCATTCTTTCCAGGTTAAGTTATCAATATGAAAATTTAACTGTAACGTATATATCTATTTGTTATCCAATAAATAGTAAATATAATAAAAGCTCTCACATGTGAAGATCCGTTGTCAATTCCTAGTTATCAACTTATCAAACATGGAGTTGGAGCCCAGTGCCCTAAGCAACGTGCAGGGAATTGATTTCTCGTATTTTTAAACTTCCATTTCACCCCTTCCATGGTCTTGCTGTTGGGCTATTCACTTGGGTGATGCATGCCCAATGAATACTAATATCTGCCAAAAAAAGAGTATAACTGCATAATGCACAAGACTACTGGTTTAATCCCAGCATGATAGCATCAAATTGAGTGAAGAGCATATGGAGGCATTTTAACAAGGAGTTGAACCACCCACCTCATTGTTGTATGAAAGACACAAGACAAGCATACTATCTATCTTTTGAACAAATTAAAAGAGCTTCTCAGATTGCTTCTACAGTGATTTTCCGCCATAATTCGCCTTTTTCTATTTTAAACAATTTGTTCTTTCTAGGGTGGGCTACCGGGGTGCTGTGCTTGCATCAGATGAAAGTTATTTTGATATATTGGACGGAGCTGGGATTATTTGATAGGGGGCAAAATTAATATAATAAGGTATAGTTTTTTTTTAATTTGCTGTACATGAATTGGTCTGCCAATGGAGGATCTATTTGATTTTTTAATTTTTACCAATCCTCCCTGCTGGCACCATTCCCACTAAAGAGAACTCACATGGGTATGCTATAAATCCCCTTGACAAAAAAAAAAAAGATTATTAAAATTAATTAATTAATTAATTAATCATCCAACTCGTAATCACTATTCCAGGGTTAGTTTAGTTAAGCTTGGATTGGAAATCGGGTCACACGTCAGGCAATACAATTTTTCTGTTTTGTTTGTTTTATTTTATTTTATTTTATCTGATACTTGGGCTTGAGAATTTGAACAAGATTCCGATGAATTATAGTCACTTTCATGCCAAAGTTGGTATGTATCTGTACGCTGGCGTTTTAGATGATCAGACACATTGTCTGTCTCCTGGTATTAGAGAATCCTTTATGCGGTTATCTTGTCTTATTTATGTTTTGTTAAGAAACAAAGAAATTGATTTTTCATTAAAGGTTCTTCAAGTTCTCTATAAAAATAGAGAATAAATCTTCTTGGCCACCTCAACATCTTAAGCTGGCCGGCAGTTGCCATGTTTCTTGACTCTTTACCTTTTGTTGCCGTCCTGCGGAGCAGTGTGGTTGATATTGGTGCGAGGAGAAGTTTCACCAGCTGTTATCCAAAGAAGACTAATCAGAAGCATGAAGCTACCCTTTCCTTCCCTCGCTCAGGCCCCATTCTTAAATCACTATGTGTTTGCCTCTCGTATGCGTGCTTACTTTCACAGCTGCCTCATTTGATTTTTCTTTTTGGGAGTTTTTATGCCATGTTTTTATTATTTTTATTTTTTGAAAGCCCTTCTACGACTCCATCGGTAATGACAGAGGGAAAGAAGCAACCTTTTGATGCCAATGAAGCTCCTTCGCTAGTTAAGGAACTTAAAGAAAGCTTCAGAACTGGAAGGACAAGGAGTTACGAATGGCGAGTGTCACAATTGAAGGGTATTGAAAAGATAGTTGAGGAAAGGGAGAAGGATATTTCGGAAGCCCTTTATAAGGACCTCTCAAAGCCTGAGTTTGAAGCCTTTGTTTCTGAGGTTTAAATCTATTGTCTTATATGTTGATTTCTCCATAATGTCCGGTATGGTGCTTGGATTCTTCATATATAGCTTTTTTGTTGTGTTTTAAAAAACTCTGTAGATATCTTGATGGTAAAAAGCAGTTTCAGATTCAGTCCAGTAATTTGCACATATGGAATATCTGCATACATATATGGTTTAAATCTATTTTCTTATATGTTGATTTCTCCATAATGTTCGGTATGATCAATGCTTGCATTCTTCATATATAGCTTTTTTGTTGTGTTTTAAAAAACTCTGTAGATATCCTGATGGTAAAAAGCAATTTCAAATTCAGTCCAGTAATTTGCACATATGGATATCTGCATACATTTATGGTACAGAGATCTGCACGTTCATGTATTGCGTTTTTGTCCCTATGATGTTTAATACAGATTGCTGCGGTAAAATCGTCTTGCGAGGAGGCACTTAAAGAATTGAAACAATGGATGAAGCCAGAAAAGGTAACTAGAGAACCACTCCCTTTTGCAAAAAGAAAGAACTGCTAACTGTGAATATATCTATTTAATAACAAGTTTAAGCTAGTTTAATGCCATTCTCTCCTAACATTTCAGGCCAAAACTTCAATGACAGCCTATCCTTCTTCAGCAGAAATTGTGTCAGAACCTCTGGGAGCTGTGTTGGTAATCTCAACTTGGAACTACCCGTTTTGTAAGTTGAAAAATAAGAATCTGTGTTAATAAAATCATGTTCTACTCATGCATTCATACCCTGCACAAAAAAAACATGATTCTCTGTTTTCCATAATCGATAAATTCAATCCACAAATGTGTTGCAATTGGGAAGCTAGAGAATACCATTTAGTTTCAAGATAATGTAATCACATGAAATGTCCACGGCTAAAAAAAAAAAAAACTCCTGCATTTTCTAGTGTTGATTTCTATGGGCGTTTTTTTTTTTCCCTATCTGCAGTGTTGTCAATTGATCCGGTAATAGGAGCTATCGCAGCTGGAAATGCTGTGGTATTGAAACCATCAGAAATTGCTCCAGCCACATCTTCACTGCTTTCAGAATTATTTGAGGAATATCTAGACAACTCTGCTGTTAGAGTTGTCGAGGGAGCTGTTCCTGAAACGGCTGCATTACTTGAGCAGAAGTGGGACAAGATATTCTACACAGGTCTGACACAATAATATTTTATATTTTGAATGCTCTGACCATACAGGTTCATGGATTGAAAGGCAGTGAGCTTGTCTCCGGTGACACACTGCAATCTATAGTTGGTGATAGAAATGAACTCCTTTTATCAAATGAAAAAATGGAAAACATAATTTTACTCCTTAATCCTGCCAGAAAATACTTGCTACAGGCCCAGGAGATGTGCTCATATTAGGTACTTCATCAAACACTTATTACTTCAAACATTTATTTTAGGCTAAAGCACCTCTTTTGGATAAGAATATTCAGACAAGGATACAACAGTTGGACTCTACAAATCAGTGGAAAAATCTAGGTAACTTGAGAAAAAACCAAGTTGAAGCCCAAACCCATACCCCAAACTCGTACAAGTGCCAGCAACATAATTTTCACATTGTGTCTCCATTCAGATTCTTTTATTGAAATTTTGTTGTTTCACTTGTGTTTCCTTGTACTTGTTCTTCACAACAGAACACCTCAGATATTACTGATCATAACCTTCCATAAAAGTCACATGAGAATTTAAGTCAATATATATTTTACAGTTACTCCAAAGGCATTTCATAAACAGGATTTGAAACTTTGAAAACACCTAATATTGTCCATTTGATTTTTCATACTTAGTGTAACTGCTGAAGTATAGAGTGCATGAACTGACGCTGCTAGTATTAATGGAAAAGTTATCTAAATTCAAGACTTCAGCTAAAGAGGCCATGCTATTTTTTCTTTTCAGGCAGTCCAAGAGTAGGGCGCATTGTGATGACTGCTGCAGCAAAGCACCTTACTCCTGTTATCCTAGAACTTGGAGGAAAGTGTCCAGTTGTTGTTGATTCTGATGTTGACTTACAAGTATGTACATCAAGTTCATAGCTTAAGAGTGCATCAATCACGGATTCTTTTCCCTGTAGTATTAATTGGCTTCATGCGAAGGTTACTGTAAGGAGGATTATAGCTGGGAAGTGGCAACTGAACAATGGACAAGCTTGCATTAGTGTTGATTATATCATAACAACAAAAGATTTTGCCCCAAAGTTGGTAAGATCATTTTACCTTTTTTAATTCTTTAAAAGGTCTGTTCCAACTGGATTTATTCTTGATGCACTACGGACCCTGAACAGATCGATGCACTACGGAACGGAATAGAAGAATTTTTTGGAGCAGATCCAATGGAATCGAAATACATATCCCGTATTGTGAGTTCAAACCATTTTTCACGTTTGGAAAGACTCTTAGATGAAGACAAGGTTTGCAACAAAATTGTGGTCGGAGGCCAAAGGAATCAGAAGAAACTGTGGGTTCCTTACATTTTCTGGCAGATTTTTGTTTCTAGATTATAATTCAAAAACGATAGACAGGAAAAAACATGACTGCATGACCTATCCTTCTATTGCAGAAAGATCGCTCCAACCATATTCTTGGATGTTCCTGAAGACTCTCAACTGATGCAGGAAGAGATATTTGGGCCATTGCTTCCTATTATCACTGTGAGTACGGAGTGAAAATATGCAATGCATGTTGTTCTAATCAGACACTATGATTCAAAGATCATTTTATCTGTGATTTGATAGGTTGAAAATGCGAAAGACAGTATTGATCTGATAAATTCGAAACCAGAGCCTCTTGTCGCGTATCTCTTCACCAATAATCAGAAGCTAAGGAATGACTTCGTGCAAAATGTCTCCTGTGGAGGAATGGTTATCAATGACACCGTGCTGCATGTATGTATTCATCTCTTCCTTAAAACTCACATATACAAGATGTGGACAGCGAAATTTTGTGTAATGTGTTCACTGAGATGGAGGCCACGCCACATCTCTCCTCAAACAGATTGTAAGGTCCCCAAACTATTGAAAATCTGCAGTATCATGACTGCAGACAGTCAGTACCGCTGTGCTTCTGGTGCCATGTTACTCCCTCCTGCAAAGATAAAGGGAGAGAATAGGACTCAATTTCTTGATGGTTAGAAGCAATGCCAAAAATGTGTATCATGAGTTACGCTTAAGGAGTAAATGTGTCAATATGGATAATTGTACATGGCGTAGCTAAACTGGATCTGCTCCGAAATGAGTACTTTTTAATGTTTTTACCTAAGGTAGTAGAGGTTAACAAATCGTCTATTTCAAGCTTGGTTTTCAAATTCTGCAGGTTACAGTTTCCAGTTTACCCTTTGGAGGAGTTGGGGAGAGTGGAATGGGATCTTACCATGGTAAATTTTCTTTTGATGCTTTCAGTCACAAGAAGGCAGTTCTATACAGAAGTTTTAGTGGAGATTCACCTGTCAGATACCCACCATATACACCAGAAAATAAGAAGTTGATGAGGGCTGTGATGAATGGTGGCATACTTGATATAATTCTTGCTTTGATGGGATGGTCTAGAGATTGAATACATGAATTGAAGATTTTTTTTTTTTTTTGTTGGTTACCCCTCTCTTGAATGCGTTTTTATTTTTTCAAGTCTCAACTGTTCAACAGTTGGTGAGATAATAATTGTATGATAACTTGCCATCTAAACGATTACTTTAAGATTGTTAGAGAGCATCCATTCAAGGGAGAGTGTCAGTGTCTTGTTGAATAAGATTATTTGTTATTTGTGAAATGCTTGGAAAGGCAATGAGAATTTCTGACTTCTGCAATGGAAATTAAAAATTACCAGACAAAAAATGTTTATACAGTTTTCTATTACCCTTTTGGTGCTAGTACGCATCTTGCCTTGCTTACCATAATTTCCAAGCAGTCTTGCGAATCTTTTTAGTTATCTGCTGTTGAACCACACTGAAACTGGACAAGAGATATCTTCAGAATCTAGCAGGTCCCCTGTCGTCCCAAGCTCTGGCAACCAAGTCCATTCAGATAGTGTTAGAAGCTTGGAAGGCAGTGACATAGAGAGAAAGAAATAACAATTAGCAGCAGTGAGCAGCATTAAACACGTGAAGAATAAAGTAGTTAGAGAATTGGATAATCCAGTTGTTGAGTTGGTGAACAATGTATAAATAAGACCTATGATGAGGGTGAGGATTAAGTCTAATGAGGTATATTTTTCTATAAATTGCAAAAGTTATTTCTCTTCTCTTCTCTTCTACTTCTCAACCTCTTTTCACACTAAAAACCTCTTTGTTAAGATTGAGTCTTAACAAATTGGTATCAGAGCCTTGAATCCAAGGCAATTACAACATTAACAAAGACTTAAAGATGGTGGAAAACAATAAGGCTAGAGCTTTGGAAGAGAATGGGAGATAGTTGGATGAGAGAATGCAAGTTTTTCATCAAGAATTGCAAGATTTCACAGCAAACAAGAGGAGACAGTAGTAAGAACATGCCAAGTGGAATGAACAACTAAAGGCAGAAATGGAAACCGAGATAGCTATCATTCAGACATTTATGACTGGAAGGGAAGTCGAAAGGGATGGCAGGAATTAAGTTAACGCCAGGGAAATGGTGCATCTACAACAGAATCATAATCCAGAGGAAAATGTGGGAATCAATGAAGGCCATCAGGTGGGTATAATGTAGCTTTACATAAAGTGGAGTTGTGCATGTTTCATAGAGATAATCCACGAGGATGGATTAAAAAATATAGGAAGTTTCTCAAGTTGCATTTTACTCCAGTTCATCAGTGGTAGAAATTGCTTCACTTTACTTGGACCGCAAGGCAGAGGTATAGTTTAAAGGATTTTCGGTAGGATCGAGACCATAACCCTACAAATTGGGAGGGGTTTGTTCGATGCCTTTGTAACAGACTTGGCAGCAGAGATCATGTGGTAGAGGCGTTTAACAAATTGGTACACGATAAGGGAGTTGAAGAGTATATTAAAAGGTTTGAGGAGCTTAAATCCTAAAGAGCACCTTGAATCCTTCACTACCAGTATCGTAATATATATCCAGCTTTATTAGAGGCCTCAAGGAGGACATTAAACTGACATTGAAGATCTTGAAATCCGGAACATTGGTACAAGAACCTGATTAAGCAAGGTGGTAAAAGGAATCTAACCAAGTTGTGACAAGAAGAAACAAGATGATACCCAAAATATCTCTTCTTGACATAATGGTAGGTTATCAGGTAAACCTTCTTATAGCACCCCTTACAATGCAAGAACTAATGTAACAGTAGGGGGTAAACGAATGAATGACACTTTATATGAAAGAAAGAAAGAAATTAGGATTGTGTTATAAATGTGGAGAGAAGTTTACTCCAGGCCATCAATGCAGTAAGAAGAACTTGAATATGATAAAGGGAGTGGATGAGGAAAATGAAGAATTTTTAGAAGTAAAAGAGGGGGTAATAATGAGATTGTGGCTATTGAAGATCAAGGTGATGAGTGTGGTTTATCCCTTAATGCATTGGCTGAAAGTTATGCTCACAACACAATAAGGATTAAAAGGAATTGTCAAAACAAGAACCTTATTATTCTTACTGACAGTGGAAGTACTCTTAGTTTTATTGATGAACATGTGGTTAAAGATATCAAGAGCACTACCATTGAAAAAACGACTGTATTATCAGTAATTATGGCCAATGAAACTGTATTAGCAGTAACTGTGAGATCAAGACTACCATTGAAAAAACGACTGTATTAGCAGTAATTATGGCCAATGAAACTGTATTAGCAGTAACTGTGGCCAATGAAAATGTCATGAGGTGTAGTGTATTCTATACAAAATTCTAATGGTTAATGCAAGGACATCAATTCCAAGCAGACAAGAGGATCTTGAAGTTAGGGAGGTGTAACATGGTTATGGGAGTGGATTGGCTAAGACTTTATTCGCCGATCCTATTCGGTTTGATAAATATGAGATTACGGACACCCACAAGCAAGATTCTCAGTTGCAGGAAATAATTGATGGGAAATTGTCAGGAGCTGACAATTGGCCTGAATATAGTTTTACAGTTGATATACTGGGGTATAAAAGGAGAATTGTGATCGGCAAAGGAGATGATCTGAGAGGAAAGGTAGTTAAAACAACTCATAATTCTTGTAAAGAAAGCGCCACGCTAGGATACTCAACTCTTACGGGAGATTTAAGATTGTGTTTTAGTGGCCTTAATGAAGAAAATGGTAAAACAACTGCTGAAGAAGTGTGATCATGTCTGTGAACAAGCTAAAATGGGAAGGAGAGCCTATCATGTGCTGCAGCGATCATTGCCAGTCTCAAGCGGAGTTTGAAGGGATTTTTTTAAGAATTATTTTTCGATCTAATTAAATTATACTAATTCTATTTTGTTGTCTAAGGTTTTTTTTTTTTCGTTTTTAACTTTTTGAGACACGCGTACCTTCTTTTTTTAACAGATAAAAAGAAAATATCGTGGGCCCACAAATCTAAGCAAACTTGATAAAAACCCTTGTCAGTATTTTTTGCAATAAATTCCGAGCTAGCCATCAAACGTGTTTGTAACAAGAAAATCACCGGAACCCTATTTTCTTCCTATTGGGATAACCTGGCATGAATTTCAGTTACTGGGCTAACATAATAATAATAATCATCAGTGACTGTAACAGCTCTGTTTCTAAATTGGGTTTCTTTCGGTTTTTTTATACCATTGCTGTTTCAGTCAGATTGTCAACGTTCTAGTTTTTATTGGACAAGCGTTGATTGAGTCCAATTTTACTGATTAATTGTTGCAGGAGGTGAAAAAAACGGATGGGTGTAACAGAGAATGCTTCTGCTCATGTTTGTCTCTTTTCTAATTACTATAATTTATATTTCACTGCTTTTGCTTTTCTTTTGCTTTGTGGTAGCCCCATTGAACCTGTTGCTTACACTGTTCCGCCATCAACATTACAAGAAAAGCAAAACAACTGTTTGGTATTTTTTTTTTTATAAGAAAATGGTTTTGAATTGTGCTTTTGACATATACGGATTTTTTCCTGCTATGCAAGCAATTTGGGTATTTCTGTAACATTCTTTTTCACTCGTATGAAAGTAGGATCCCTTCGTGATAGCTATAAATCATGACGCCAATTTTGTGTGAATGAGGGAGGAGCTCTAGTCCGAAGGAAGAGATTATTAACATGCAAGATCCATTGCGCTGCTAGCGGTAATCATGACAATTTAGATGCACTAATCTAGTTAATGTGAGCACAGACTTGACTCTTAAGCTGTGAGGAAAGAAAATGAAAATACAGGTTATAATTGTTATATTTGTGGGCTTATGGAAATTTTTGAACATGCTATTTCTTTTTGTGGGCTTATGGTGTTGGTGGGTGCTTAACGTATTGCTGATTTGTAATTCCATGCACAGGGACTCAAATTTGATGTGGATGACATGATTGTGAAAATGGCAAGCCAAGACCAAACCAAAATGCTGCGCATCAAACAGCAGCTGGCCACCATAGACCACACTCCAGATCACCCAGTATACCCTGTCGTATGTTCCCTTTTCCTTTGTGTCTGCTTCTCTAGAAATTGTTTTCATGATACCTACGAGTGTAGCCATGTTAGTCTCTGGTTCGAGTCCTGCCCTTTTTAAAGAGAAACAAAGGAAGAATGAAGTTTTCGTTGACTAGTTTTCAATTGGTTTGATTTTTCCTTACAGATGGTGCATGAGGCAATTATGGATTTAAATGAAGAAGGGGGATCGACCAAGGATGCAATATCACAGTTTATCATGAGAAAGTATGATGTTTTTCAGGTTGTTCATGTGGCTAAACTAATTGAACAATTAGAGAAACTTGTGGAGAAGGAAGAGATAGTTTTTACATCTGAGAATCGTTACACGCTTCCAGCTGAGGACTCTGGTTCTCCTTCTAAGTTAAAGCAGGGAAAGAAGCAGTCGGTGCAATATGAACTGGATCGGAGAAGTAATAAGTTGCAAAAGGTCAATGAAGGAGTTCAATTTCAAGAAGATCAGAATGCAATTATAGAAATAGAAGATCAACCTGAAAGTGATAAAGCAAAACAAACACAAGTAGCTCAAAGTGAAGGCGTTGAATACCATAACCATTTACAAGAAGATCAGCTTAGGGTATATGAGGAAGAGAGGTTTGAGATGACTACTGAGAATTTTTCTCAAGTTGTTGAAGGACAGTCAAAAGTGATTGTAGAAGATAGATACCAGCAACCTGCTGGGGTAGATGAAAGACATGGAAAAGAAGTTAATATCCAAATGAGGGAAACTGAGGCAACTGAAGAGCGAAGTCAATTACAGCAACAAGAACTCCAAGTGACTGAAGATCAAGTGGAAACTGAACGTCAAAGTAAAGTAACTGAAGACCTGCATCATGTTGAACATCCTGAAAATGAAGAAATTATAGGCGAAATTCGACCTCAGGTTCCACAAGATTTGTATGTTGACGAACATTATCAATCAGAGGAAACAAATATTAGAACCATTCCTATGCAGATTGAAACACGAGGAAAAGAAGTTGGAGTGATTGGAGAGGAAAAGGCATTGCTAGAACAGGATAATAAAGTGGGGAACAATTCTACTGACATTAGGTTTGCTCTTTTCTTACTTTGCAACATTGTATCTTACAGTCTTTCTTGTTACTTTATCTTATCCCTTCTCCTTTTCTGATTAATTAAGCCATACATCGGAGGTTTCTGCACAACCTGTTCGAGATAAAGACATGATAGCTATGCCAAGTTCTTCTCAGACAAGTCAACAATTAGACCATGTTGGATCTTCATTTTTATTGCATGCTCTGAAGGTGAAAGTTTAAAACTCGAGTATTAGTTATTCACATGTTAAACTTGGAAAATTGGTTACTAATTTGTAAAACTCGTCTTATTCTGTCCCATGAAACACGTTTTAATTGTTTGTTTAATTTACTTTGATCATTAGGAAAAGTGTATAAATGTGTGGAAGAAGTTAACAGAAGCTGAGCATGAGCTGATGGATGTTCTTAGCTGTTTGAATTCAATGGAAGTAATAGCCAATATTCATGAATCAGAGCCAAAAGCATTGCCACATTCTGATTATGTACCCAAAGATCCAACGCAACTTCAGCAGAATCAACAAATTGAGCTTCCTAAACTCAAAAGAACTGCAGAAGTTCAAATAACAGCATTGCAGGAATCTTTTCAAAACCAGAAAAGGCAGGCTTTACCTGGAAATCATGATTTCCCATCGAAATACTGGTCAGAAAAAATTGGTGTTTCTCCTACTCAGCAAATCATGCACTCACAGCAACTGGAGGTGGAGAAACATCAAGATTTTCCTAGTTTTAAAGGCTATCTACAACTTCATGACCCAGAAAAGGGGTCCAAGTCATGTTCAGTTGCTTGTTCTTTGGAACCCCAGGAGTTGAATCTGGAGCAGAGATCAGAGCATCATAGCACAATTGTAGAGGACCTTCAGACTCCCATCAATTTGGAGAATGTTGAGCTGCAGCAACGATTAGATGTCCCTGAGCTAAAAAAGGCTTTGGGAAAAAACTTGTCTACTGATGGAGAATTGACACCTGCCAAGGACATCACTATAGATAGAGACCAGGTTGAGCCTGAGAAGCCTCCAGCATTTGAGATTACAGAGGAGCAATTTTCCCAAGAACGGCTGCAGGGTGCTGTTCCTTGTGGTGATGCAAAGAAACTCGAGCCTGTGGTAGGAACCATGACATGTTCATTTTTATCTTTAATTGCTCATGATTTTTCTTATGCCTTCCATTCCTTTTCTATCATTTATTATAATCGGAGACGGTATGAAACAGACTGAAGATAATATAGAACTGACTTCATATTATCAATGATGTTAAATATAGTACCATAGAACATACCATTCTATAGATATGACAAAATGAATTGTGTGGCTATGGAATCAATGCAGCTCGTGAATGGGCAGAATCTTGAACTATCAGTCAAAGAAAGGCATATAGAGGTTGAAACGATCACTTCAGAGCAGCAACGCCAGATAAAACAGCAAATACAAGAGAAAGAATTACATCCTCTGGAGCAAAGGGCATCTAAGAATAAATCTGAATCAGGTGCAGCTGGAGCTACTTCTGATCAGCAACTCCATAACATTGAAATGCTTCAAGATCCAAAGCAAATTTTGGTGGTACATGAATCATCCCGATTAACGAATCAGCAAAAGAAGGGTCGTGGCAAGAGAAAGAAAGTAGAAATGGAGCTGCCCTGGAGGGAACTATGGTATCGTGGCACAAAGGCATCTGAATCTAATCTAGCACATCCAACAGATGCAAATGATGTTGATTCAGACAGACAGTGGAAACTAGATCATCCAATCCCTGAAAGACCTCAAAAGAGAAAACCAAAGAACGTGGAGAAATCATCTCAATCAGTGGAACAGGAACTGAAGGATCAGGGTAGGAAAAGACTTCTCAGATCTCAGCTTGCACCAGTAACATCTGATGAAGTCAAAATGCTAGAAAATCCAAAACAGCAAGAACTAACATCAGCAGGGGATTCTATTCAAACTCGGCAGAAACAGCAACTACAGTCTCGAGTGCAATGCTCTTCCCAAGCTGAAGAGATTATGGATAAAACCATGGAAGAATCACAACCCTTACCAGACCAAAATAAACAGGAAAGTCAACTGGCATATCAACAACGAGGGAAGCTAAAGCCTGTTATGGATACAACTAAGGGGAAAATTTTACCTGTAGATGGTGAAGATCATCACAAGGAGCTGCCATTGCATATTCAAGGGCAAAGGCCTAAAGCCATGACCAGTACAAAACTCATAGTAAGAGAAATATCCTCAAGCCATCAGAGTCACAATGAGCAACAGCCCAAGAAACGTGGCCCAGGAAGGCCACCTAAATCATTATCACCTGCATCTCAAACTGTCAACGTACCATTGTCTCCACAGATTCAGCTTAAGCAGAAAAGGCTTCAACATGATCTTCAGAAAAATGGCCAATTGGTGCTGGTCAAGGGAGGTTTACAAGATCCAAATCACCATCAGTTGCAGAAACCATTTCATCATGACCTTCACAGGACTGGCAGCAATGCAGGCCACATTTCAAGAAGAAAAAGCCTCAGAAACGCAAAAGTGATGGTAACAACCAAAGGGAAGACATCCAATACTTGACCGAGGGAATTAAAGGACAGGGTAATGCTATTATTTTCTGTTTTTTTTCAAACTTTTCAGGGGCATTTAACTTGATGGTGTTTTTATTAGCTTTTTCAGTTTTCGGTTTTTTGAACATGGATAGGAAATGTTATATCACTTTCCTTTTGCTCTATCTTCTATTTATTCTAGCCATGATAGTTCGAATTCTTTTTTCTCCTTTTGTTTACAAAATCATTGCTTGTAAAGTTTTGTGGTTCTTGAAATGCTTATCTAATTGCATGACCAGGTCTTTAGTTAAACTTTACCACAATTTAGTCACTAGGTGAGATCAAATGTCTTTTCTTTAGTAATATGAACTGTGAAGAATATAGATCTCATCTCTAATCAGTTTTTTTTTTTTTCCTGATCTTGTATTCTCTCTTTTATCTCGCTCTCATTTATTTGGAAACCTTAACATCATCTGTAGATTGGTCGTGATTTTATCATCGCTGTCTTTCTTCTTAATAATGATAAATGGATTAACGACAAACTATAAGAAGACATGCCTGGCAGCATAATTAACCGCAAATTTAGTGGTTTCTATGGAATTTTCTGATATTGTTGGCCTTCTCATCATTTTCATTGGTTGCATAACTGTATTATACTTGCTGCTTTGGTTCTATAATAGTTCGATAAATTAAAAGCTTTCGGTCTTCATTCTCTTGGTCTTGAGATTAGCCAGCGAAGGGTGACGAGTTACTTGTTTGATGGAGAATATGTGGATTAGTCTCTACTTGTATTTTTTTTTTTTTTTTTGTGTTGCTCAATGATGAACAATATGTTCAGTGCTAACATTAGCTTGATATTGCATTTCTATCAATTCATGATAAACTTGACTATGTGATTTGTTGATCTGGTTCTTTTTCTTTTTTTTTAATTATCATACAAGTCTTAAATCGGGTCCCTATCTACCAGAAGTTTCAATTGCACCATTAATTTGTTATATAGAGTAAAACAAAGTCATAGGACTTCACCCATCGAAGTCTCTTGTAATTTGGTGTGCAGAACAAGTGATCCCATATGGCACTTCACTATTTAGGATAAATTGAGCAATTAGCACAGTAAATTAAAAAAAAAATAGTGAATTGATATAGGTAAAAAAAAGATTGACGAAATAACATTTTTTTGATACCAAGCTCTTTAGAAATACGATATTTATTAAATGTTGTTATTTTTAAATATAGCAAGATAATTTTATGTTAGTGTGTCATCTCAACACACTTAAGAATTCATGAAGATTTATACTTGTATATTTTTTTATCCATATTTATTGGTAAGAATATATATAAAAAAAATATAAAATCTTGTTTCATCACTAATCAAATGAATTATCTGAACTTTCTTTTAAGAATATATAAAAAATATAAAATCTTCTTTCATCACTAATCAAATGAATTATCCTGAACTTTCGTTTCCCTAAGCACTAAACAAAGGGGCTAAAAGCATTATTCTCACATGTAACAAGTTTTTTGCTTGCTAGCTTGTTACCTTTTAATTCACAGATAATAAAATATATGAAGTTTTTTTTTTTTTTTGAAAAAAAAGGGCTATTAAGAAAACAGCATGCATATAACACAAATTATTGTTCACAATGCTAGTATACACAAATTATTGTTCACAATGCTAGTATAAGTATTGTTTAGCCCTTTTAACAAGAAAAAAAGATTAACCTGCTATTAGGGGGTAATTAATTTGTTCTTTCCAACATGATTATTTTTAACACGATTAATTTTAACATGATTATTGGGATTAATTTTAACATAATTATTGGACATAATGCTATGGATTATAGATTGAGAATAATTTGATCTTTTCACACTTCAAAATTATATTATAAAGATTATATTGCACTTAAAAGTAAAATTTATTAAAAGATTTATTAGAGTTAGTTCTGTCTTTTTATATTTTGGAAGTATAATGTAAAGACCTTTATACCCTTAACAAAAAAAAACCTAAAACTTAAAACAAGGAGTATTTGTATATTTTTATTATGATATTTCTGTAACTAATAGGTTGAAGCAGAGCGATTTAATCTTTTCATCAATTAAGATAATAGTTAAAAAAAAATTTTATTGGTGCATGTGCAAGGACAACACTTATGCCTTTCAAACAGCTTATATTGTATTGTTCCATGTTTAAATACCACCTCTCAGGACAATGTCTAAAGTGGCTTGACATGTTCTTTTCAACAGTGCTATGTGTGTGGATGACAAGGGAGTGGTTGAGTTTCGATGGAGTTTTTTCTCCACCCCTCTTTTTTTCACTCTTCTCCTTGTAAAAATTTAGAGGTTTCCTTTAATTTATTTCTTGTACTCAATTCAATCCTTATTATTTTGATTTTTATTTTATTTGTTTTTATATTTTTTTTTAAAATATTTTTCATTTGATTTCATTTAATTTTTATATCAAATTTAGTCTTCATCTTTTTTATTATTGTTTTTTTTCTAATCAAATTTTGTTTTCAATTTTATTCCTCAACATTTGATTTTAATTTTTTTTTATCAAACATACTTATTCTTTTTATCTTTTTTGCATTTTTTATTACATTTATTTTTTAATTTCATCCCTTAGCATTTTATTGATTTATAATTTTGCTTCATTATTTTTCTAGAGTTTTCCTTATATGGTGTTGGTCTCAAGCTCGTGACCAATATTACAGGTTTCGAAAGTTAACATGTGTCGATTTTATTTTTTCTATGACACTTTTTAATTATATTATTTAACATTTAATTTATCAATAATTGATCTTCGTATTTTTTTTTTCTATGAAGTTATCTCGATCTTATATTTATGGTCGCAAGGTTAATGACTCAACTCAAATTGACACAAATATTTTATTTAAATTTTTTTTTTGGTTTCACCCTAGACATTGGGGTTTTTTTATAATTGAATTTCATGATTTTTTTTTAGTTTGCTTTAGATATTATCCTGGTATAACAATAGAGTTGTAGATTTGGAATGCTAACTTAGATGAGCTCAAGTTTTTTTTTTTTATCTTTTAAGTTAATAAATGGAGTTTTATATTTTTTTTTACTTTTTAAAAAAAATTGTTTACTTATTTACATTGTCTTAGCATTATTTTTTTACTTTAAATTTTTTTTGGATGGGTTAAGATATATGCTCCTTTCTGGCACTTACAAGCGGTTTAGGAACGTGAACAATATTTTTTAAAATAAATTAATTTTTTTATATAGATTTTTTTATTATTTTGATGTATTGATGTTAAAAATAATTTATAAAAATAAAAAAAATATTTTAATAAATTTTTAAGCAAAAGAATACTTTTTTAAAAAATCCCCTTTGACACTTTTAACTATACTTGTAAATGTATATTTAATTCCGAACGATTTTTAATCAAGTTGCTGAGAGTTTGTATTCTTTGTTACATCAAGGTGTAGTTGGGGTTGTCACCCTCCTCACTGTAGATAAAGAATAAAATTTGTCATGGAAAATGGAAAAGTGTAGCTATAAAGGGGAAAGAAATTGTACATGGCAAAAGAACAAAAGGGAAATTGCCGCAGCCTTCGAGGTATAGCGTTCCATTTTAAGGATTTGGCTTTTGATGCAAATGTCCCTCTCATGGAAGTTTCCGAGAAATTTTCAATAATAATTCAAGCTAAAACAGAGTATCTGAATATGCCTTGCCATCTACTATACTGTTTTGTGCTTAGATGAAAAGGCAAATTATATACCTTAACTTCCTGCAAATTCTTTTAATTGCCTTTGCATTTATTCCCAAAAAAAAATTAGTTCAAGATCCATTAACATGATCCTCCTGTCTCCTTGGAGAGAGAATAAAAGAACACCACATTTGAAGAAATATCGATTTTTATAGGTAATTAAGCGAAATTTCAAGAACGAGCAATGCCCATGAATCCTTATTCTCCCAAGCAAAAGACCCCGTGTCAATAAAAACCAAATTTGGATGAATCCTTAATCTCCCAAGCAAAAGACCCCGTGTCAATAAAAACCAAATTTGGACTCATATGGGCTTTTAAAAATAAACATAAACAAGTGGACTGACCATGTCTTAGTTTTCATTCAGATATTCTACCACGCATTTGTGGTGTATTAATTAACTCACTGACTGTCAAAAAGAGAGAAATGGGAAAAGAAAAGGAGGGTTTTTGTGTGGTGGGGGTTTTAGTGCTATTTTTGTTTTTGGGGTCATCAGTTACTAGTGATGATAGGCAGAAAAGGTGGAGAAAGGCTATGGTATCAGGTGAAACAATGGCTTCATCAATGTTGATCAATAGAGTTCCATCATCCATTGTGTTACCGCTTCATGGGAATGTCTATCCTAATGGGTAAGGGCATAACTGAACTGGGTTTTGACTTCTTGTTTTTTTCCTTGTTTCTTTGCCAAGTAAGTGATAATCGCATGTTCTGTGTGTTACCATGTAATGATATTAGGATTTTAGTCTCTGATTCTTCGTAATTTATCGACTGAAATTTCAAAACCTTGCTTGATAGCTATGCAATAATTCATGGAGTCCTTCAGTTGTGTTCGTCTGGATTCTGGACTGTAACTACATAAGGCTTTGTTTGGACCTTCTTGAACTCAATCATTTGGTACTGAAATGACAGAGTTCCATTTTGTAGGTACTATAATGTGACTCTCAACATCGGCCAACCTTCAAAACCCTACTTTCTTGATGTAGATACTGGAAGTGACCTTACATGGCTCCAGTGTGATGCTCCCTGTGTCCAATGCTTAGAGGTAAAAATCATTATAACAGGTTTTCTCTGTTTCGTCCAACCAATTTAATGACAATTTATGGGGAAAAAAATCATTTAGCATTCTTTTCTTGTTGTTGGTCATGCAATCAAATGTTCCAACCTGCGTGATCAGTTCTGCGATGTCTAGAAGATTGTATGTATCTTGTCCTTGAGGCTTAAGTTAAACCTGAAGAGCGGAATTATTGTATGATGCTGCTACTTGGATATGACTCCCTAATTGTTTTTCCAATTTTCATTAACATATAAATGGATGGTAGCATGCGATAACTTGAACTCCTTGATTCTTGAGCTTTCTCGGATGTGGTTAGTTTCAGCATAATTTTGTCACTTGTTTTATGGTAAATCTGTAAACCTCTGCTGCTTTGCTAAACGCAATTATGCTCCTTCCAGCTCAGTTAATCTTGAATTATCACTGTCTGTCAAACTTGCATGTGATTCTAATTAGTTTTCAATGTTCTATGCTGTGTGTTAAACAAATGAAGTTATGTTCTTAGTATAGCTGATACCTTAATTATTTTTCATTTACAGGCTCCTCATCCATATTACCGACCCAGTAACAATCTAGTAGCTTGTACGGACCCCATTTGTCAATCCTTGCAGTCTAATGGTGACCACAGATGTGAAAACCCAGGGCAGTGTGACTATGAGGTTGCGTATGCTGACGGTGGCTCATCCTTTGGCGTACTTGTCAGGGATACCTTTAATCTCAATTTTACAAGTGAAAAGCGCCATAGTCCTCTTCTGGCCCTTGGGTTGTTTTCTTTGCTTTCTCTCTTTATTAAAACTTTATGAGACTCAATGCAATTTTCAGTTGGTTGGCTAGTATGCATAATGTAAATCATTTGTTCTTTCTTTGTTCTTTTTCCCCTCAAACAGATGTGGATATGATCAGTTTCCAGGCGGATCTCATCATCCCATAGACGGAGTACTAGGCCTTGGCAAGGGAAAGTCTAGCATTGTCTCACAGCTTAGTAGTCTGGGTTTGGTGAGAAATGTGATCGGCCACTGCTTAAGTGGGCATGGTGGAGGATTCCTCTTCTTTGGGGATGATCTTTATGATCCGTCTCGTGTAGCTTGGACACCAATGTCACCTGATGTGTAATTAGGCCTGATGGATTTCCTTTCATGTTTTTAAAGTTTAGCTTTTATATTCATATCTTTGTGTTCTTATGGTAAATGCTCATCGTGCATGGCAGGAAACATTACTCTCCTGGACTCGCTGAATTAAGCTTTGATGGGAAAACTACCGGGTTCAAAAACCTGCTCACAACTTTTGATAGTGGGGCATCTTATACATATCTTAATTCTCAGGCGTATCAAGGTCTAATTTCTCTGGTGAGCGGTAGAAAATCTAGTAAAACAAGACAAACATAAATGTTAGATAAAGAGCCTGGCATTTGCATTAGTACAGCATGAGCAGGGTTGGTCATGTACTTTAGTCGTCTGCAGTATTTGTTGTGAATACCTGATATTATTTTCAAATGAATCGTATGTTATATACTATGAGAAAAGATTCTTTTTGCCTCAAACTTGCAGTTCCGCTCGGTCATTATCTTAATTGTCTATCTGCTAGACTGTTAATAAGTTGCCATATGCTTCTGATGCTTGGAAGTTAAAAAACAATGTTTTCTCCCGATTTGGCTTGAAGCTCAGATTACTTCCAATAATAAACCATCGTTTGAATCTCAACGCCCTATATTCATGCCTTATTTTTTTCAGTTGAAGAAAGAATTATCCGGGAAACCTTTAAAAGAGGCATTGAATGACCGAACACTCCCACTTTGTTGGAAAGGCCGGAAACCTTTCAAAAGCATACGTGATGTCAAGAAATACTTCAAGACCTTTGCATTGAGCTTCAAGAATGAAAGGAAATCCAAAACTGAGCTTGAATTCCCACCAGAAGCTTACCTCATAATATCAGTAAGTCCACCCTTCAATAGTTTCCCCACCTTTGATTTTTCAAGTTTAATTTATAGCTCAATTAGAAGGAGCCTTTGCATGTCAATGAATGCTGACAATATTTTTTTCCAGTCCAAGGGAAATGCTTGCTTGGGAATTCTAAATGGCACAGAAGTAGGGCTCAATGATCTAAATGTCATTGGAGGTGAGAGTTTCTGTATAATTCGGAACATAGCTTGAAGAATTGAGATTATCAACTTAGGATTGAACTTAAAATTCTTTTAAACTTTCTTTCATGTGGTTTTATCAGACATATCAATGCAAGACAGAGTGGTGATCTATGACAACGAGAAAGAACGGATTGGATGGGCCCCTGGAAATTGCAACAGGCTTCCTAAATCCAAAAGTTTCATCATTAGATCAGAATGAGGGATTTTATAATCATTAAAAACAAAAGCCCTGTGCAAAAAGCTTCTAAGCTGTTAGTCTCTAGTATTGTGTTCTTCATACATCATGTGCAGCATGATTATCCTTGAAAAGTATGTATTTGTGAAACGGTGAATCATGCATGGCCCACAGTTATAATTAATAAATATTTAACAAAATACAGAGTCGTTTTACTTTCACTGCCTATGGATCTTCAAATTCACAGTGCGGGAATCGTTATACTTTCTGCATCCACCATCAACTGGTTCGTTCGTATAGAAAATCAATAAGATAATACTTCTTTTAGGTTAAACTTGGCAAGACTGTCAACATGGACAGTGAAGATTATGGATGCGCCTTCACCAACCCAATAAACCAACTTGCTGGAAGGCAATATGAACGATGGTTGTTCTTCTATGGCCACAATTTTCAAATCTTGCAAGTTACACATCGTATGAAACGAACGTTGAATTATTTGTCTGTCAAGCCCGCAGGAAAGTATGTGTTTGCTTACTTTCGGCTTATTCTTCATGTTCATCCCCTTGTAAGCCCATCACCATCACATCGCCATCACTTGCATTTTTTTTTTTAATTTATGTAAAATCTTTTCTTTTCCTTGTTCACAAGTGGTATTTTGAAATTGCAATTTAAGCTATATAATTTAAAATTTTAATTTTAATTTTTTATATTTTTAAATCGTTTTAAAATACTAATATTAAAAAAAATTAAAAAAAAATATATTATTTTAATATATTTTCAAATAAAAAATACTTAAAAAAATAACCATCATCACTTTTCCTTGTTGACAAGTAGCATTCTTCAAACTTTGCTTCAAATTCAATAATTTTAAATTCTTGAAAAAGAGCCGACATTAAAATTTGTATCTTTTTTTTTTTAATTAGATATATCAATCTTCGTAAACTTGATTCTTCTTATTGTTTTTTTTTTTAATTATTTGTTTATCATTTCTCAACAACAAGCATAGGCGCTTAAAACTTAAAAGCCTCCACTTTCGCTTCAATTTCATTAATTTTCAATTAAAAAAAATTAAAACATTTCAATATTTCACTTAGTATTTTGCACATGCAATCCGCGGTAAACTATTATTTTATCCTTGGTATGCAATCTTGGGTTCCCAGGAATATAAGAGTCTTTCCCATTAAATTTGTTAGAAGTTATATTAAAAAAAGGTGTTAATTAGTAATTTCATATTTTTTCTACAATATAAATTAATTGTTTTCTTATTTTATTCTTTTCCATTTTATTTTTATATTAGATTTGCTTCTTATTCTTTTAATTGTTATATTTTTAGTCTTAAATCATTTATTGAATTAATTTATCTTTGATTTTTATCCCTTCATATTTTGTTTTTATATGTTTTTATTTTTTTATTGTTATCTTTTTTTAATTGAAATTATTTTTCAATTTCATCTCTTGTGATTTGGTTTTATTTTCCTTTTCAAATCTATATTTTTTCAAATTATTTTTTTAAGTTATCCTTACTTATTTTGATTGGTTTAAAATTTTACATTATTATTTTTTTAGATTTGTCTTTTACATTATAATCTGGTTTCATAATTTGTCACAAATTTTAAAAATAAAATTTTAAAAAATAAAATTAAAAATAAATATTCAAAACAAATTTCCAACTAACTCAATAATAATAAAGGATTTGGTTGGCTTTAATCATATTTAAAGTTTGGTCATCAATGTTTTGATTTCTAATTTTAATTCTTAATATTTTATTAGATTTTAATTGTTTTCAATTTAATCCTTAGATCCATAATCTTGATTTTTTATTTTAAAAAAATTTGATCTCATTCTCTTGATTTTTATTTTTTATTTTCGATTCATTTGTTAACTTAATTTTTTTTTCAATTCAAAATTTTTTTATCCTCTTTTTTTTTTCAAATAAGATTTTTATTTTCTTAATTGCTATTTTTTATTCTTTATTTTTTTTATTTTAACATTCGATATTTTATTTATTGAAATTTGATTTCCTTGGTCCTTTGTTTCTAATAGTGGTCCTTTGTTTCTAATAGTCAATTTTAGAATAATTATTAGGTTGAGTAGATTGACTCAAGTGAATTTAAATTAATCAGAGTTTTTTATTTATTAAAATAAATTAAAATTTTATATGTTTTTTCACTATAAATTATGAGCTTGAGTTGATTTCATTTTTTTTTTAGTTATATCCTTTGAAATTGTTCGTTTTAAAAAAAATATTTTGTTATTTTTTTCAATAAGATTTTATCTTATGATTTAGATGAAATATGTTTATGGTAGTGGCTTAGATTTTTCTAAAAGTTATTTTTTATTTTATTTTTTAAATTTTAATTTTTTTAAAATAAAATATTTTTTTTATATATTTTTTCTTTCACCGCATAACCTTATCCTTGTGATGCTACTTGAAAGTTTTAGTTTTAGTTTTGATAATCTTACTTGGTTTTGTCTTATTAGTGCTTTGTTTTTAAATAATATTTTTTCGTTGATTCTCAGGGAGTGAATTTTTAGTTAATTTTCTATTACCTAGGATCATTAATTTTTCTTTATTTTTTAAAATACAATAACAATACTTTAGCATTAATGAAAGATGATAAAAGTCATAACACAAAAAAAGAATATAAACAATCATAAGCACTTAAATTCCTTCTACTTTCTTGAATTTCACTAATTTTTGAAATTAATGAAATAAATTCTTGTAAAATCCTACAAGAATTCCCTACAAGAATCATTACAATGACATATTAACATCACTAATGCTGATTAATCCAGCCATGTTCCCTCACGAGCTTTCATCCCAGGTCAGAATCTGCGACTCCATCCCTTTGATCTCCCACAAATGTCACCTCCATCTGAAGACTCCAGGCAAATTGTCCGGGCCCACATGCAAGAATACATCGACGTGTGCTATTTTTACCTATAAAATTAATATGCAGTCTTTTTTTTTTTCTTTTTCTGGTGATTAAAAATCAAAGCGGCCTCTGTAAATACATGAACATGTCCTGCAGAGGTGAGAGCTGGTCCATCTGGAACTGAACTTGTGAAGCAAAAGGGTCGTCTTGGAGGCCATCTTCAATGTAATTGAAGTTGAAATCAAATACACTATCTAGCTGATCATTCCATGATTTTGGCTGGCTCTGAACCTCCTTCTCGCAAGTGAGCTCAGGTGACAGCACGTGCTCCGAACAACTTGAGTCTGTATGCAACCTTGGGGTTGAATCAGACGTGTCCATATTTAACAAGTCATTGCTATTACTCATCATCATCATCGTTGGTGCTCCCATTGTTGACCCTCCATTCTTGTAACCAGACATTTCGTTTATGTTGGGCTTTTGCTCTTCCATTTCAGCATACTTTGCTATTGATTTTCTATCTGCAGGAAAATGCTTCTCTATGCTTCCTTTCTTGTTGTATATTCTGCACAATACCCAATCATCTAGCTGCAATAACAAAATATTCCGTGTCAATTACTCTAAATTATACAATAAATTGATATATTGGTTAAAAAAAAGAAGAAAGAGAAGGAGAAGAATAAAGGAAGTACCCTAAGGTTATTTTTCTTGCCAGCGGACCTATCAACATTAGCAAGGCGGTATTCGTGCATGATCCAATTGGTTTTGATTCCTCTGGGAGCTTTGCCGGCGTAAAATACAAGAGCTTTTTTTATGCCAAGTGGTTTGGGCCGGCCGATGGGTTTATCTGCTCCGGTTGCTTTCCAATACCCGGTTCCAGCCGCCCGGTTCGGCCTTGAACCGTTTGGATATTTTCTATCCCTGGGAGAAAAGAAGTACCATTCCTTTTCACCGTACAGTGCCATTTCTGAAAAACAAAATTCACCAAATAATTATTAAAAAAAGAAAATCAGGGAACCAAATCGAGAATTTTGAAATCTTTCTCGTCCACTTGTTTAGATCAAAGATCTATATATCAAATTGATGAACAAATGGCTAAGAAAATTTATGAAATATTTATGGGTTTTTGGGTTTTATTATCTATAAAACTTAATTGTGTGAAGGTAAGGAAATATCCAGACTATCTAAAACTACAAAAATGAATGGTAAAGAAGATCTCATCCAAAAAAGAAAAAGAAAAACCTTTATTTTTCTGAATATTAAAATTTAAAAACTCAGTCGAAATCTTTCAAAAAAAACCAATAAATCAAACAAGCTGAGCTAAAACCCTTTCTTCCAAGTTAGATCAATCACTCAAATCTGATCTTAAAACCACAATTAAAACTCCAAAAAAAACATTGAAAAATCCCAAAAAAACAATTACCTGGAAGCTGCCAAGGATCATACTTGTAAAGATCAATCTCAGCAATAATAGGAACAGAAATTGATTGGCCTCCACATTTCTTAATCAAGTAATGATTCACCAACTCATCATCTGTTGGATGAAATCTAAATCCAGCTGGTAACTCCAACTGATCTGCTGCTGCTGATCCATTTCCCTTCATTCCCAGCTTTTAAATTCTTCTTCCTACTCCTTTTTCTCTGTCTTGAAGCTCGAGCTCTAAGCTAGCTACTTCTTGCTTGGCTTGTGCTTATTTCTTCTTCCTCCTCCTCTTCTGCTCCTTGTTTTAGCTCTGCTTTATGTTTATGATGCTTTCTCAGAGAGAAATGAGTTTTTATAAAGGACTTCGAAAAGGACAAATACAGGACATATTTCTGAGGACACGTGGGGTCCGTGTCTATCTACAGACAAAACGTGGGAGTTTGTTTGTCAGGGGTCTTGATTTCCGCCCTTAGCTGAACGCAGCCTGTGAATCATGACACGTGCACCACTCCTCTAATAAGCGCTTGCCACGTGCTATTGCTTTTGTCATCGCTTCCGTCACAGCCTTTGTCCACTCCTTACTTGAAAGTCGGCCGTCAACAGTCTCTTGGGCTTCGCTGACTGTTTTTCGTTTTTTTTGTCTCATGGTCAAAACCCCAATCATCTACAGTCGATTTATCCCTTCAAGCTCCATCAACAGGATACTGGCACGTGCGAAACACTTCCTTGAGGCCGAAGATTGGAGTTGTCAATGGAGTGTTGGAGATTTATGCCTGGAATGGGGTGTAGGAGAATGAGATGTCGTTCGAAGGTGGCTTTGAATTACACGTCAGCGTCATGGGAGCCCACGGAGGATAGATGACGTCATATATATATTTCCTAGTGATATTGGATACTGTCGCTAAACGTCAGCACTTACATAAAAATCAAATTAGGAAAAGAAAAAAAAAAAAGAGTGCAGAGAACAGTCAGTCGTGCCTTGTTGTGGCAGCTGGGAAGAATAATATCATGGATCGGACCGGATATCCTTGACCATGTCTAATATATATCATGATACCAATTCTTGCACATGGAGTTTTAAGTTTTTGTACATGTTATGTTTTTATGGTTTTTGATGATCTATTTGAAACGAGGGTGAACATAAATCTATTTATCGTTTAAATTAATTTCTCAAAAGTTAATATTAAATCTCATTTACAATAAATTATGCATAACTAATCTAGAACTAGAAAACTGGTGCTTGGTCCCTACTAGAAATTCGGTTAATACCAATAAAATTTCTAATGAAATAATTATGTCAATAAATTAATAATTACTAATAGGCATTATTTTATCTGTAATTCAGTTAATATGTACCAATAGAATACTACGATCGATATATACTAACAAAATTACAGATAAAATATTCAAAATTAAAAAAAAAAGCAATTCACTTACCTTTAAGTTTTTGTTGGTGATTTTACCGATGGAATCATTGAGAGATTCAAACCGGGATCTCCATACAGTGACGTAACCAGTTCACCATCAGATTGCCAACGACATCACCAAGGGATTCAAAATGGGATACATTTGCGCCCCTTCTTTAGCCATATAGTTCCTAGAACAACTAGTCTTCTTCTTCTCTAGCTCCGCCATTGTGCTAATTTAATAATTTTTTGGACACTCATACAATTTATAATGAATATTATTTAACTTTATTTTTTATTTTTGATGTTTAATAAAATTTTATTTGCATAATTGATTTTTTTTACTATTACTTTATACTTTTATATTATTTATTCTAAATAATTTTTAAACAAACAAGTTTCAAAATATACACCGACAGTTTTACAGACATAATACATCCATCGACATTTTACAGAGAGCTGCTGGAAATGCCACAATTACCGACAACTTTATAAATTGATACAATTTATCGACAGTTCACAAAGAGTGATGGAAATGCCACACTCACTAACGACTTTGCAGACGGAGCGAGTTTATCAGTATTTTACCAAGAGCTAAAAAATATTTACTGGATATACCACTATAACTAACAAAATAAATTCATCAGTAACAGATACAACCCATCAGCAGTTCATAGAGAATGGTGGAAATGCCACACTCACTAACAACTTTGCAGATGGAGTGAGTCCGTCGACATTTTACCGAGAGCTGAATAAATTTTTTCTGGATATGCCACTATCATCAACGAAATAAATCTGTTGGTATATTTCTAGCGAGAATTTTTTTTACGAGCATTTTTCATTTATAAAACCATCAACAATTTTTTTTTGTTACCGATAGACTTAGTGATAGAAGGTGGTATTACCGAAGAAAGGGATCCTGATGGACACTTTTCGTCTATGATTTAGTCAATAAAAAAACTTACTGACAGAGTCTGAATCTTACATCGACAGATTATATCCGTCTGTAAAACTATGTAATCTAGTAGTGGGTAGTGTTTACCCTGAAAAGACGATGCATTATATTATAAAAAAACTAATTTCCATAGCGAATTCATTCTAGCCTCTTTCATATAACAATGGCTACAATATTCTTCCATCTCTCTTCCTCTTTGTTTTTAGGTGTTACGCGGAAATCAAGAGAAAAAATGGGAAAATATGGCATCTAGAGCCATGCCACCCTAGGAGAGAAAGCTTACCATAACAATCCCATCACCTCAAAGAAAGGTCATGAACAAAAATTAAGGGAGAAGGAGAAAGTGAGAAGAAAAAAAAGGGGGATGGCAAATGAAATTGAATCATTGGCACATTGCTCATGCTGATGGTTCTAACCCCTAAGGGTTTGTTTGAGATTGGGATAGTGGTGGTTGTTCAAAGTGCTTTTCATCTAGAAATACATCAAATTATTTTTTTATTTTTTAAAATTATTTTTAACATTAACACATCAAAACGATCTCAAAACATAATCTTTTTTTTATTTTAAGTAAAAAAAATTAATTTTTTTAGAAATACGGTCCAAACCGCATTCCCGAACACAGTCTAAGAGAGAGAGCTTGTCACGATGATTCCAATGTTGTTTAGGAAGGTCATAAATAGAACCTAAAGGAAGCCACGTGCTGTTTGAATACGATGAGACTTCCTCACATGCCAACACAGGCAACACAAATACCATGCTTTTCCAACCCTTTTAGTTTGGTCCCTAATCAAATATTTTTCTTATATGATCCATAATTCTTTGATAACTCATCATTTTTTTTTGTCTCTAATTCTTAGATGGCTTTTCAATTCGATCGTGAACTTCATCTCACTCAAGCCTAACTAGGGAGAAAAGATAGTAAGGAGATGAATGGGATGGATGATCATTCTGTGTTAGCTCATTGTGGTTGTATCATGATTTGAATTATAAATTTAATAGTTTGGTCGAAATCAATCCAATATAGCATTGTCTATTCATTTGAATACCTTTTTTTAATTGTTTTTTAGCATTTTATTTTTCACAATTAAGCTTAATTAGGTTAGGTAAAAATTAAAATAATAATCATGAACTAAAAATAAATTTTAGAAGTCAAATTTAGTTTTGAACATGATGACCAGATCATGTTAGGGCTAGCATGGTCAAATAAGCCATGTTGAGCCAACCCAGTTGAATTTAAAATCTAGATTATGCAAAGGACTATGACATGCATAAGGCGAAGCTAAATGAACGAAAGATAAATAAATTGCGGTAACAACTTATTTAGATTTAATTCAATTTTTATTTTTATTATTTAAAAAATGACACATGATTAATGCTCACAATATCATGTTTCTTTTTTCTCATCCATTGCTTAGAATCTTAATTAGTTTAGTAGTTTTTGTTTATTGTTATCATCTTTTCACCATTTACGAAGGCTTATAATAATCAATTGATTTTATTTAATGCATAGACCAAGCTTTTAATGTGCATTCCAAATTCTTTTATTATCAACAAAACATTTCACATCACATCACATCACTTATATTTTTTAAAAAAATTAAATTGATTTTTAATCGAATCGCAGCGTGAGCACTCGACATAATGGTAGCCTAAAGTTTTAGAACCAATTAAGTATGCCTAAAGGGTCGTCTTCCACTATAATCACCCGTGATATTGTTTTTTTTTTTTTTTTAATTTCAAAGTAATGCATCATGGTGTCAATAATTTCAAATTTAGTATAATTCAACGACCACTTCCTTGAATTTCATCACACCAATGAACATAAATGGTTTGTCTGTGTGTGCTCCACGTAGCTATGGGCAAATGGCTGGTTAGGTGATTGCACATGGAACTTGGAAGGATAAATATTAACCAGGGAAGAAACACTCGATTAGTAATTGATGATAATAATAATAATAATAAGAAAAAGAAAAAGAAGAAGAAGAAGAAGAAGAAGTTGAGTCCAGCATAAAAGACAGGTAAGATGACGTGGGACCAGATCAACGAGACCCAACTATAATGGAGGCTGCAGGGTGTATTTTCTTTTTCAGAGCATGCTCTGTGAACTCACCATGGTGGTCCGATTTTATTTTAATTTTTTTTTTCGGATAAAAGAAATGCAAAATATAGTCCAAATAGATATAACCCTGATATTAATCTAACTAATTAATTAATTAAATACAGCTGATTAAAATTAATCCCTTCACCTTGAGTTTTAGACTAATTTTTTGGGTGTTAAAACGACTAACTTTTTACATGTTAAAATTAAAGTCAAAACATTTAATCAAATAGATATAATTTGACTAGTTAAATTTTAGATTTAATTTTTATAAATTATTAGTTTGAGTACTATAAATATTAAATTATTAAAAAATTATATAATTAATAATTTTAAATTACATAAAATGAATCAAAGTATATATAAATTAACCCACATGCATTAATAATAATAAAAAAAAACCCAGACGTCTACTACATATGATGTGATTTTAATTAGAATATTAGCTCCCAAAGCTGATATATTCCCATGAATGTATTTTATGATCGCCTCTACCGAGGGAAGACAAAAAACAAACAGAAAACAGAAAAACCAAGCCTAGTGGCTTGATCTAATACCATGCATGCAGGCAAGAGGAGCTGTATACTTGGCGAGCACGAAGGGTCTTTTCTCAATAAAAAAAACATCCCTTCATGTCTATTCAAAGCCATAAAATAATGTCACTTGAACCCCCTCGAAGAGCCATGTCGACGATTCCACATCTCCAAATGGGTTAAAGGAAAGCAAAAGGTGCGATGGATACATATATTTTATGTCGGTAGTGCATGACATATGTGCCTGGATAAGCATGTGGAAGTTACCTAGGAAGTTGTCGGCCAGCCTAGCTGGATACATTTGCACTGGATCATCCCGTCGGGGAAGGATTTATCTGAGA